GGCTGGAGGTAGGAGAATCAGTTAGAAGGGTTTTACATTACAGTAGGCTGGATAAAAAGTTATAATGGCCTAGATGAGGGTGTGGCTGTGTGAGTGGAGAGAAGGGCACTGATATAACCTGTTGGGAAGATAGAATCAACTGATTGAACCTAAAGAATGAGGGCAAAGGAGGACGTAGTGATGACTCCAAGGTTACAAATATGGATGACTAGAAGGCTATTTTTTCCCTCAAACCTAATAGGAGTTTGAAAGAGAAGTGGGTTTAGGGAGGAAAATGAGGTCCATTTTGAAACTTTTCTTTGCTGGGATATCCAGGTGGAGATGCCCACCAGACATTTGGCAATGGAGGGTGGAGATCCTCAACTGGTATAGACGTGGGAATCATCTCGGTAGAGATCATTGCTAACTTAAAGCAATTTCAGCAGGGTGGCAGGATTGGAAACCAGATTGTAAGAGAATGGGATGTAAGAAGTTGGTAGAGAGAAGACTACTTTTCTAGGATTGTTGCAATGAAAGGGAGAAGTAATATTGGAAAATAGCTTGAGGGGATGGCAGTTCAAGTGGAAGGTTTGTTGTTTTAAATTTTATTGTTGCTTTTTTAAAAAAAATCTACAAAGTCAAAGGATATGAACAGTTTGCTGACTTTTCTACAGTTGTTTCTCATCATTTCAGAATATAACAACAATGTATTTGGATGCCTAGCTTCCCACAGCCCCTCCATAACTGACTTGATATAAAAGTACCACCAGGCTTTGTGATGCCAGCTTTGATGCCTGTCCCGTAGAGTATACTGTTAACTGTGCCTCTAAGAAACAATGGTAATCTCAGAAAGGTAGATTGAGTGCTTTCTTTAAAGACTGTGGGGAAACTAAGAATTTAATTTTTATTCCGGAGGGTTACCTATGACACTGTCCAAGGTACAGAGAGACAAAACTAGCAAGAGAACTTTCCTGAGAGACTAAATTCAATTCCTTTTTTTTGGGGGGGGGGGGGTATTTCTGAGAGACTTTGGTTGGTATCTTGAGAGAGCTCACTTGTGAAGCTGTTTCCTAGCATTAAAGAGGTCAGCCATTGCAGTGATACATAGAAGTGACTTTGGCTCTGATCTTTCTTTTAGGTAGTACACTGCAACTAATTACTTATATCTTTGTTTCATTGTCTGTTCATTGTTAAGAAATTATACAGCCAGTAACTGTCATTTATTTAAGCCTAAAAGATTAGGGAATTGTATCCAAACGCGGTGGCCCAGGAGTCTTGGTACAGTTTTAAGCTACTAAGTTTATGGAAAAAGAGATTTTTCCAGTTTATTTAATGTGATATTTTTAAGCTGGAGGCAAGAGGGGGAGCTCAGAGCTAAGTGATTAATTAGTGAGAGAAATGAAACAAGGTAGAGTCAAGTAGAAGGATTTGGGATGGGGGTGTGGTTTGGCATGGTTGTGGATGCAATTGACACCCATGTAGGGTACAACGTCAGGATCATTCTTCAACCTTCTACACTGTCCTTTATCATCTTGGCCCATTTACAAGGTGTGGAGTAAAAATTTAGGGGTGTTTTAATTCTCATTCTTCTTACTATTAATGATTTAGACCATGTTTTTACATGATTGTTGATCTTGTGCATTTCTTCAAAAGCTTAGGTTCTTTGAACTAAGAGAAGTGTGGGTTTGTTGGGTTTTTAGGATGAGAGAAGGCTAAGGGAAGCCCCAGGGAAGGAGCTTGTAGATAGATGCTGAAGATGAGGGAGAGGCAGGAAATTATTGAAAAAGTGTCGGCTCCTGGAGAAAATGGGAGGGGGTGACATCATCGGGAATGACGGGTTGGCCTTGGCAAGGAGAAGAGCCACCTGACCCTCAGAAAGTGGAACAAATGAGGAATGGATTATTGTAAACTTTCAGACAGTCCTACATAGCTTCTAATCATGAGGAATGAGGTGGCTCTGTTAGGTCAAGCCATAGACCCGAAAATAGCAACCAGCGCCTACAGCCGCAAGCCAGAGCAGCCCATACCCATGCCTGCTGCACCCCATTGGTCTGCTTAGCCATCCTGCAGGGATAATAAGGGCCATTACATGTCATCTTCAGAAATTGAGGGCTCTATATTGAAGCGGCATAGACTGATGGAAGAAGGCTGATCTCTGAGTCCGGAGATTCATGTGCTGGCTCTGATAGTGATCAGCTTTGTGACCATGGGAAATACATGTCACCTCCCTGAGCCTCAGTTTACTCATCTATAAAATGGGGGTGATGCACTAATTTTGTCACAGGGTTGTGGGGAAGTGCTTTGTAAATCTTATCACACTAAGAACATGTGTGTGACATTTAAAAAGTTCAAGAGACATAGTTTCTGGATAATTTAATCATTTTATTAATAAGGCTAGCATGGTTATTAATAAAAAGAGGTCAGTGGCACTCTCGAATGCCAAAGACCCCTCATGGCGGTAGACTTACAGTTTATATACCCTTGGAAGAGCTGGTGCACCTGAATGTGGCAATCAACTCTGATTGGTTAACAATATTATAATGAGAGGTGGGCCCTGTTACTATGAGGGTATTGCCAGTACGTGACTTGAATCACCCAAATCTTGGTCAAAGAGACTTATCAATTAATTTCCATGTCATCTGTCTGACAAAAGGAAGAATCCATATTTTCCCAAACCTGTCTTAGTAAATACAATGAGCAGGAATCCTTTCTTTAGCCTAAATTTAGAATTTATTTTACTGTCTGATTAAATCTTAGCCTGGGTAAGCATTTGCCCAAGATTTCCCACACTGGTTGAGTTCTGGATGATGAAGTAGAAAAGGGGAAAAACCTTGGTCCTGATTCAATAATTAGTTATTAATACAATAGAGAAATAATTTCTCTCATGTGAGTTATTAATATGTACAGGTAAGGCAATCGATCTCTTTTCCCTCAACCCTGCTAGTGAAGCTGAAATTAGGAGGGCGAGGCTTGGAGGTTGAGTATTTTTAAGAGTAAGAATGTTTGCCATCCTTAATTAGTCATCAGTTAATCAGTCAACAAATATTTATTCAGTGCCTGCTGTGTACTAGGCACTGTGCTAAGCTCTGGGGATACAAAAAAGAAGCAAAAAGTAGTCCCTGCCCTCAAGGATCTTACAGTCTAATGGAGGAAAGATCAAGCAAACACATATGTATAGGGAAGCCATATACAGGATAAATAGGAAATAATTCAGATACTACCTTCCACACCTGCCAGCTCTAAGTTGAATGCAAGCTCATTAACCTCAACTCTCTGAGTCCCACAGTTCTCTCATCTATAAAATGGGAACAATAACATTTCAGGTTTGGATGTGGTCTAGACCTGGGATTTCATGGGCATTGGGAATTTCATGTGTGGAAACTCCTTCTATAGATGAAGATTGACAACTTACAGTCTTAGAAAGTTGCCTGAGGACACGGAGGGGTTAAGTGACTTACCTAGGGTCTCACAGTTAATATGGCGGGACTTGAACCCATTCCTTCCTGTGTCTAATGCCTGCACTACACCACATTGTCTTTGAATACCTGGAGTGTTGCAGCATCCCTATTTCTAGGGCCTCCTTCAGTAGCTAGTGTTTGGATATTACCAATCCTATGTTTGGAGGGATGGATTACTTTCTTTCTTCTCTTCTCTCTCTCTCTCTCTCTCTCTCTCTCTCTCTCTCTCTCTCTCTCTCTCTCTCTCTCTC